CATGCAAGAACCAACGAAGACAAAAAACATGTCATGGAAAACGTAAATAAAGAAAACTTCTTTCAACTAGCATAGAACGCTCACTAGAAATACAAGAAAATATGAGGAAAATACCAAAAGAAAGAATTCGTAGAATTTAGCATAATCAGTAATCAATCAACCTGAAAGAAAATTTCAATGCCGTTTACCATATCTCATCATATCAATAACATTTTTCAAATCCCTGTTGCTAGCTACTAGACACCTAATCAGCATTTTGTAATGTACAGGAAGTGACGGATCTGCCAAAGCTGCATCCAAAATCTTTGTCCAATCATCCTGTGTCCGAGATGGGTTTGACACGAGAACATCCTCAATGCCGGAAGATAAGGTGCCATTGGTTTCCTTCCGGAAAATCGTTTGTGGGGAGGCTGACTCGAGGACAGGAGTTACCGGCTCTTCTTTGATGCAAACTGGCTGAATAGGAAAGATTAAACTCTGATGTCCATCCACACTGGTAAAATGACGTTTATCCTTTGCACATTCTCAGCAAATTCGGATGAATCTCCGATGATTTGAAGAGCCACTTGTTTGATTGGCAGTAAGCTATGCATTCCTTTTTGCAGTTCGGGCACCAAATAATAAGCAGTCGGAAAAACAACAAATACCACAGTATGATGATTCATAGAACATTGTACATAAAGATGTCCGTGAATGTCTATTTTTGATGCCTTTCAGTTACTGTGGTGCTCGAAAGCGTCCACGCTCGCCATTTTTACGATTGATGTTGTCCCCGCAGAACACTTATTTGGCTGTCAATTACCAGACAATGGGTTCCCTTTCACAATTACCAGGGTATCACAAAATCGTAGAGCAATCTATGTGTAAAGCTGCGTACCCAGGATTTCCGTTCAGAGGGGAGCGGAGAGGCGCGACAAAAAATTCTTCTGATAAGGTGCGTGGCGTTAATCTCACACTCCCAAAAATTCTTTGGTAAGGTTTCTAAAACTTTCGCGGCCCGTACCCCGAAATCTCCGAAAAAAAAACTTATAAAGCAGAATCGAGTTTTTGAAAAAATTTGAAGAATGTTCTAATTATATACAAGCATGGGCAAGTCACTTGCACATTTCTATAACTCGTAAGTAT